CTGATGCGGCCATGCGAACGCCTAGGTACTTGACCGTCGGAAGCGGGTGCACTGCGAGGGCCTCGTCCTCCTGCCAGGTCACGATGCCCGTGGAGTGTGAGTTGATGGACTTCTGGCGTCTCTTGCTTCCCGTGCCGCTGGGGATGAGGAGTAGCTCGGTCTTGTTCGCATTGACCTTCATGCCACCGAAGGAAATCTCGCCGTTCACTAGGTCGAGCAACTGGGACGCCTCGTCAAAGTGGTTTACCTCTCCAAACGTCAGCAGGTCGTCTAGGAACTTGAGGTGGGTTACGTCCAGGCACTCGCAGTAGTCATTCATCAGCGGATCCGAGGTGCGAATCTTCTTGAGGCTGGGGTCAAAGTAGACAAAAATCCCAGGAAACTCATTCTCGCGCTGACGTTCTGCCACCTCGGCAACTAGCTTATCATACGCAGCAACAAAGAGACCAGGGCTCTCCACACCTCCCTGGCGGACGCCGCGCTGGACATGAATGCGAGAGCAAGGTAGACGAGTGCGCACGTCACGATAGAGGTAGCACATGCCGTCATGGAGCTCCTCTAGCGTCTCACGCGCATCAGGCCGTAGTTGGAGGGACTCCAGGCTATCCCAGATGGACTGCCGTGCAATGATGTCGAAGGCCTTCTCCAAATCAGTAAGGATGACCAGCAGCATAGGAGGAGGATCCGTGGCTCGTCCGCGTACTCGAACTCGATGGGCATGCTGATGACGGGTGATGACCTCCATCGCAACCGAAATTGCGCCCCGAGTGCCACGGCCAGGCATGGCGCCGAACTGGGTCGGGGAGATCCTGTGGGAGATATCGCGCATGGCGTCGAGGGCGGTGACCCGCGCGAAGACCTTGCCTATGTGGCTGATGAGGCTGATGGTGCGATAGTCGTTCATAGCAGACTTGCCATCGCCTTTCGGCGTACGCAGGTGCGCAGTCTCGCCATCCTTGAACCGCTGGGGTGCGGAGCCCAACGCTTGGCTGCATTGGAAGATCTGGAGTAGGGGCGGGCTGACGCTCTCTAAGGCAAGCTTCCAAGTCTCTGCAACCGCACCAGTAGGAGGAGCCTCTGAAAAACCACTGAAGGGCAGGGCCTCCCTTGAAGTTCGGAAGGTTGCGAATGCCCTGCTTGGTGTCAGCCAAGTCATACGGCCCGATGCGATCATCATCTCGGCCCATGTCACGGGCTCGGACTGGTAGTTCATGGAGTGCCATCGCCGTGCCATTGCACAGTGAACAGATACTCGCCACTCGGACTTGGTTGTCACGTTCTGAGTCGAAGCATGGGAGGCCTGTCTGCGGGTCGTTGACAGTCATGATGGGCGCAGGTGGCTTGGGTGCGAGACGGCGCACGATGGAGAACAGGCGCCGTAGGTTATTCTCGCCAGCAGAGCGTTCAGCAAAAGCTGCAAGATGTGCCATACGCTGCCGCTTTTCACTCCTGATGGCCTCGGTGCAAACCTTGGACGCCTCTAAGAACTTCTGGTGGAAGAAAAAGGTAAGCCATCTCGAGCCCGAAGAGAGAGCGGCCAGTTGATACTACCAATGATGCTTCAACTTGATAAGTCGCATAGTGGCCTCCGAGAAGACTGGCCCCGTAGACGCACCCCGCGGCTGTGGCAATTCGATGTAGTCCTGGGAGGCAGCCTCAATGATGACACCCTCCATCGCGTTGAAGTACTCGGAGGGGTCGGCAAAGCGCTTGCCACTGCCGCAGACGTCAGTCCAATCCTCATGCAAGCTCATCGCCTCGATGCCCTCCTGGACCTTTGTGCGGAAAAGATGCACGCGATCAGGGATGGGATGGCTGTGCTCGAAGTCCTCCTCTGCCAATTGAACTGCGCGCAGGTCTTGGATTAGTTCACGGCGCCAGCGGGGTCGTGCAGATGGTGCAGAGGACTTCAAGCGGGCCCCGATGAACAATTTCGTCTGCAATGGGCGGTGGCCCCGATAACCTCCGAGGTTGACTGGAAGGTCGAAGCGCGGGCGGGAGTCGTGTCCGTATCCACCTTGGCGTCGGACAAGAACATAGTCGATGGTGGTCCATGCTCCAGCGGGGCTCCTCCATGTACCGTTGCGGCGGCCTTTCTTCCCGAACGTATTGAGTGCCGCCAGCCCGAAATCCTCCAGAATGTCCATCAACGCGCGCCCGTTGTTGTTGATGAGAGGACCATGCCCTCGAACGCCAGCGTGGCCCACCAGTGGAAGGTGGGGAGGTAAGTGAGCGTTGGCGTCCAGCGTGACCACCAGCGAGGTGCGGGCAGGGACCTGACTAATTGCGTGGCGGCATGCGCGCCAGAAGGTCTCCTGCCGGGAAAGATGTGCTTCGCGGTAGGCGCCAGCATCCACGCCGTTCGGGGGCCGACCAGGGTCATTGGTGGGCGCGTAGCCGTTGAGGATGTAGAGGTCGCGCTCAAATCGACTGTGTCCAAGGCTGCGAATCCGAATACCTTGGAGCCTACCAGGCAGCCACGAATGCTCGCACCTTATCTCGCCAGGCTTGAAGTGCCGCTCGCTGATGGCGATGAGGCAGCCGTCACGGTGGCCGACTCCCGAACGAGGGCGAGAGTGGACGCTGTAGCCGCACCACTGCCAAGACATGCCTAGGTCCATCTGGGTGCCCTGCATCGCAAAAATGGCCACATTCTCTGCCTTCGCCAGCTCCAGAAGCTCCTCCAAGCGACCTATGCGGCGGAGTGATTCAGCATTGAAGCTCCAGAGCCGCACCGTCCTCTCTTTGAAGCAAGTGGCGTCGTTCCGAGCTGGCGTGCGACCGAGCTCTTCAGGTTGTTGGCGCAGCTGGGGCGGTTCGCTGGTGAGCAATCCTGGGAGAAGTTGCGCTGCAACAGCACGAGAATAACGTCGTCCTCGATACCAAGCAGCTCCCACCACCAACGCGAGCCGCACAGCACGCCTCAGGGCACGCTTGCCGCGCATGCCGATACGCCCTGCTTCCAGCGGCCTGAAGCAAACGGCTCCAGTAGTGCTGTCCTCGCGGGTCGGGCTACCCGCGAACGCTCGCCTCGCAGCGGGCCCTGAGTCAGCAGCCCCGCCAGCAGCCAGCAGCTGCGGCAGCCATGGTGCAACTGGCGGGAGGCCAAGGGCTGGCCAGGACTTGCGACCTGGCACGGCCGTCCGCTGGGACGACAAACGTCTCGAGCCGTCGAGGCTTCCGCCGCCCTTCCGCCGGCTTCCGCCGGCGGAGGCGGCCTCGTTTTACTTCCGCCGCCCTTCCGCCGCGGAGGAGAGCGGATCATCGAAAGACAAGCAGCTTTTGGAGCACCCCATGTGTATCAACCGGCTCGATCTGGTTGCAAAACTCGGCCCCAGTAGGTTGGGGCCAGGGGAAAATGTGCATCTTCTTGGGTGGGGCTGAAACTACCGATACCGCTGCTCCATGGGCCTCTCCCTGGGCACGGTCTAACCACGACTTCGAGTAGAAAGCGGCCGTGGCGACGAAAGAACAAAACTCAGTATCGGCATCTGCTCGTTATTTTTGATTTGGAGCCCAAAGGCCTCTGGCTCGCACCTTCGACTCCAGGCGACCAGGGGCAGGAGTCGAGGCGTCGGAGGTGGTTTCCTGAAAGTCCCAGAAGAGTGCGATGACAGACCGTGAGGTGACCTAGGCATCTCCAGAGAATCCACCGCGCTGTCCGCCACCGCCACCGTGGTGGGACCCTGGGGGCCCCAGTCGCCCGGGAGAGCCACAGATCCCAAAACTGTGCGCCTTCCCGACCCCCCCGCAGGCACACTGGAGCCCCTGCAAAAGGGTTGTTAGTGAACGGGGTGGTAGCTAAGGGAGCTCTACGAGTGAGTACTGGGTGACAGGGCATTTACCTCGCACTAGTGCGTGATAAACCGGGGCGGCAAAATCGTCGATACTAATCATAACTCTGGGCGGGGGGATCACCTCGCACTTGTGCGCGGCAGAGTAATCTTTGGAAGGCACAATTGAAAACGCACCCTCAACGACCAACCCGTGTACAAACACCCCGCTTGCAGGGGCCTGCCACACTGCATGGTGGGGCCATCGAGCCGTCTGCCGGGGCCGTCCGAAGAGGGGGGGGCGTTCCAGGGGGGGGCGTTCCAGGGGGGACCACGCGACGTACTGAGATAATTGAGCGGGGCCAGGAAGTCCAGGGAGATGTCATGGCCATGGCCATGGTATCCACGCCCCCCCTATCAATCACCCCCCCGCCTCTTCACCGAGGTGCCGATGCCGCTGCTCACCTGACCTCGCTCGGGGTGCGGTCTGACCAGAATGTCGGGGCGAAGCCAGCGATGGCGACGAGGGCCTCCCAGGAGGCCCCAAAAAGGCGAAGGCGAGGGCAGGCCAGCAGCAATAGACAAGACAACACTGCACAAACATAAACTTTCGACGGCCTGCAGGGATTTCTTCTTGGATCTGCCCCTGGCCCCAACCCTGGAGCTTTTCTTTCCCGAGGCATGGAAGGGGCAAGTATAACGGATGAGACACAAAAAAAACACTAACTCGTGCGAGCTCGGTAGGCGGTCGCCTTTTTTGAGCCAGTTTCGGCCCATAGACCGGGCGTGGACAACCCTGGAGCGCAGAACGGGCCCCCGCCCCTGGCGCGCGGAGCGCGCCACGGGCGGCGCTGGAGGCGCCGCCAGGGGGGGGGCCAAGCGCAGATCGAAGACATCCGCGCAGACCGTCGAAAGCGTATGTTCATGCACTTGTGTCTGCTTGGGGCTAGGAATGCCTGTCGTCCTCTGAGACGGCTGGCTCGCCGCCGCGCCCTCCGGGGGCGCCCGAGCTCCACCGTGGCCCCCCTGGGAGAAGGACCGGCAGGAGGAGGAGGAGCAGGAGGAGGAGGAGGAGGAGGAGGAGGAGGAGGAGCAGGAGGATCGAGGATCAAGGAGGATCGAGGACGAGGAGGATCGAGAAGGAGGAGGATCGAGGAGGAGGACAGAGGAGAATCGAGGAAGATCGAGGCGGGGGAAGATCGAGAAGGGCGATGGAGGGGCGGGCGCCTGGCGAGCAGGGCGAGCCTGGTCCGGAGGCCCACCACCTCCTCGGCCAGGGCGGGGGGCCCGACGGCTCGTCAACGACGCGCGCTTCGACGAGGCAAGCACACTAGCGGCCTCCCAGGTGGGGTCCGAGCAGATGGGGTCGGAGGAGCGCGCCGCCTCGCCGATGCATCGGCAGCGTCGGCGATGCACCTGCGACGTCGACGTAGGGTGAAGTCGAGACCCACATCGAGCTGCATCGCCGATGCATCGGCGGGCAACTACGTATCACCCCACAGTGGCGGATAAGAGTGATGGGGGGCGGGCGCGGGGTGGGTCGCGAGTCGCGGGTGGGTCGCGGAGTGGTTCGCGGCGTGGGTCGCGGTGTGGGTCGCGGGTGGGTCGCTGGGGGGTCGCGGGCGAGGACGACAACAACGCGACAACAACAATTCGCACCACAGAACCTCACTTCAGCCTGGCGCCCTGGGACAGTGACGAACCGTTCGGCCCCCTCACTCCGATTTCCAATGCGCCTCGGGCTTCTGGGGGAAGGATCTCGAAGCTCCAAAACGCAATGGATGTGCATACGAATCTTGCCCGCAATTGGCTGCGCACTCTGGCCGCTAAGGCAGCACGAGCTCCCGGGTGCTGGGTGTGGCTGGAGGTTAATGATAAGGATGATCTTGGATGGCAAAGAATCGGCGGCGCCCCGAGAGGTTACGTGAGAGGGGGCAACCGTTTTCAGAAAACGTCAAGGTTTCTCAGACCCCCTCGCACCGTCAAAGAACCCGTGTTTTTTTTGTTGTGTGTGTGTGTTTGGGGAAGGCTTAGAAGGCTCCTGAGAAGGTCTGAGGCCTCCTGAGCCTTCTGATCAGGCCCGCCCACCTCTGCTTTACAACCAAAGCATATGAGTAATGCAAGCGCGGTGCTCGCGTACGCGCGGGCGAAAGCGGGCAAGGCAGAAGAGGAGGCCAATGAATCCGATGTGTTGGTAATTAACCTTCCCCAGAAGTCCCGAAACGTTGCCCGGGGCCGGCTTCTCATCACGAGCAGTGTCAAACGAATCCAGAAACGGACCCCGCCTGGATAAACGCGGGGGTTGCTGAGTGGAAACGCGGGCTAGAAGTAGATGTGAATGTGGGTTATATCAAAGTGAGGGGTCCGAACGGTCATTCATTGTCCCTAGGTCCGCGGCTGAATATTCTCGTGGTGAGAATTCTGCTTGTTGCGTTGTTGTGACTGTTGTTGTTGTTGTTGCTGTTGTTTGTTGTTGTTGTTGTTGTTGTTGTTGTTGTTGTTGTTGTTGTTGTTGTTGTTGTTGTTGTTGTTGTTTTTTGTGTTGTCGTCGACCCACCCGCGACCCACCCGCGACCCACCCCGCGACCCACCCCGCGACCCACCCCGCGACCCACCCCGCGACCCACTCCGCGACCCATCCGCGACCAAACCCGCGACCCACCCGCGACCCTCCCCACGACCCACCCGCGACCCCCCCAACGACCCATCCGCGACCCATCCGCGACCCACCCGCGACCCTCCCCGCGACCCACCCGCGACCCACCCAGCGACCCATCCGCGACCCATCCGCGACCCACCCACAAGGGAGGAAAAACCACCCGGACCCGACAATTGACGTTTACTAACGGCCCTGCGGCCCTGGGCGTTTACTAAACAGCCCTTCCCTGTTCGATTCATTCCTTGTGTGCGTTTACTAAACGACTTCGCTTGTCGTGGTGATTATTATGGGTTGGATTTCTGCCCTCTACACCCGCGACCCACCCGCGACCTACCCACAATGGTTTAACGAAAAAATCGGGGCCTGCGGCGGGCTCGTTATATAATTTGTTTGAAACTTTGGCGCCTGCGGCGGGCTGCTCCAAAGTCTCGCAAACTGCCGACATCCCGACCGCCCCGGGATGCTACGCATGGCCTAACCCAACTTAGAAGTGGGTCACAAAGGCCCTAAGTTGCTCAAGATACTAAAGATCTGGCAGAGTGCTCCTCCCACTTAGACGAATTCTGTATTCCCGCGATGCCACTCAGGGCACTTGTGGGCTAGGTAAAGCTAAACAGACGTTAGCCGTGGTTACGCCAGATTGGGCGCTGGGCCAGCCCACGCTGTCGTAGATTAGGCCATGGGCACTCCCCGGCTAGGTCAGCTGGTGATGCAACCCCAGGCTGACCGCAAAGGAACGCCTGCCAACCGCCAATTCCCATGCCGTCGATCTCCACGCGAAACTTGTGCCGCGTCCCCAGGAACCCGAATCCTAACCGAGCCAGTCGAGTCGGGCGAAAGGGGGGGAATGCAAAGGGGGGGGGTGAGAATCAGCTCACGTAGCTGATTTTCCCGGCGCCTCCCGGCGCCGGAGGCGACGATGTATCGAGGAACGGGCCCCTCGGTGGGGCCGAAACCAGCTGCATGCAGCACATTTCGTAACCACCCCTTTCCCAATCCCCCCCTTTCGTCCGGCCCGAGCCAGCCGAAGGCGCGAGGGCCTGCCAGACCCTTCCGGGCCAGCGCCTCCCACCCAGACTCCGCAGCGCACGGCTGCAGCGCACCGCGAGGCCCCCAGCACCAGCACCATGCTTCGGCGTGGTCGTGCACGGGACCTGTGGGACTACAGTCGGGGCGTTGACCTAAGGAACCCTAAATAAGGAACGAGGCCCTTTTTTTCCATAAGTTAAACTTCGATTTCCGATCGAAAACATAAGGAAAACCTGAGGCAAGCTGGGAAACACTGAAGGAACGCGGAGCCCCTCCCCAACCAAAAGGGTTCCTTCTGCAGGGCCCTGGCTGTAGAGGCCTCCCAGACGGGGTCGGAGGAGCGCGCCGCATCGCCGACACATCGGCGAAGCATCGGCGATGCATCGGGGATGCGCTGGCGACGCATCGTCGACGTGGGCGATGCATCGGCGGCGTCGACTTGGAGCAAGTCGGGCTCCGCATCGAGCCGCATCGGCGATGCATCGGCGATGCGGCGCGATCATCCGACCCCGTCTACTCGGACCCCATCTGGGAGGCCCAGAGGGACAGAAGGGACACCACTGCACTGCCACGACTCCTGCTCTCCCCTCTCTTCTGGCATCGCTGCTGGAGGAACCGAGGACGAGGGTGGGACCAGGCAATGTGCGCGGACGAGGGTGAGACCCCACGCGACGTGTTGAGATAATTGAGCGGGGCCAGGAAGTCCAGGGAGATGTCATGGCCCTGGCAATGGTATCCACGCCCCCCAATCAATCACCCCGCCGCCTCTTCACCGAGGTGCCGATGCCGCTGCTCCCCGGACCTCTCCCAGGGTGCGTTCTGACCAGGATCTCGAGGCGAGTCCAGTCCAGCGGTGGCCACGAGGGCCTTCCAGGACGCCCAAAAAAGGCGAAAGCGAGGGGAGGGTTGGGGTTGCGGATGGCGTTTCCTTCTCTGGATCTGCTGGCGGCTTCTGACGGACCCCCTGTCATGACGAGCCCCTGGCGTGCGAAGCCCCTCTCGGAGCCCTCATCTGGGCCGTGCTGGGTGGTCGAAGAAGCGCAAGCGGTTGAGGACGCACGGGGGTCAGGGCACGCTGGAGGTCCTCTGACTGCCCCCTCCCTCCTGGCACTGCTTCGCTACTCGACGTGTCAGGATAGGAGGTCTGTACACCCGACCGACTCCCTCCACCACTAACCGGCTCCCCTTACCCGGGGTCCTGGCTATACCCGACCGACTCCCTCCTGGCACTGCCGAAGCCGAGCTCCTCATGCTCGGGCGTCCATTTCCCGTGCATCTCTCGGTTTCGTGCGTGTTTTTCTTGCTCGATGGTCCAGGATCGTCCTCAATGGCTCTCGCCGGGGAAAAAAATCCACACGTCCGAGCGGTGCCAGGCGCCTCCCGGCACCGCCGCAGCCGAGCTCCTCGTGCTCCCAGGCGCTCCGCAGCAGCGCCGCGGCCAGGTCGGCCAGGGGCGCCGCAGCCCGACCCGCCGCGCCCGCCGCGGCACGCGCCGCGGCGCGGAGGCGCGACGCCTGCGCGACGACCTCGCCATCGCTCGGACGCCCATTCCACGTTTCGTGCGTGTTTTTTTCGGTTTCGTGCGTGTTTTTTTCGCCAAATGATCAAGGATGCTCCTCGATGGTCCTCGCCGAAAGAAAAATGCACACGTCCGGGCGACGCCTGCGACGACGGGGGAGGCGCGCGTCGCGGGCGCGGCCCGGTCGACCCCTGACAGTCAGACGAGGCCAGCGCGAGGATATTGGAGGCCTGGAAATTGGCACCAACACCAGCATAGGGGGTCTGCCTTCACATGGAGAAGATGGTCCTAAATTTCGGTGTTGGTGGTAATAGTTCGGTCACCTTGAAAGCCAGAAGATTACCACCATCACCGAGATGGGGATCGTCTTCCCTCGGTGGATGCATACCGCCGATCTTGGTGTTGGTGTCAACCTCTAGGCCTGCGAGGATAACGTCGGACCCAGACCCCCTCGAGTCTTGCCAGAATCACGGCGGGAAGGGCTTCGATGTGCTCCGCCTCCGGAGGCCCTCACCAGGCCTCGGGGCAGTCAAACAACGAATCAGGATGAACGAGCGGTCCTGGGGAATGGGTCTGGACCTCTGGGGGTCGCGCCGTGGAAAAGTCATGACGTCGGGGGTCTGGGGACGAAGATCAGCGGGCTTATCAGAGCGTTCCGGAACGCTCTGAGAGAGTTCCAGAGCGCTCTGGACATGGATTTGCCCTCGTCCTAGCCTCCTGCGACCCTAGCAAACCGCACCCTTGTGTGACGGCATTCTCGCCTTTCAAACTTCCCCTCGGCCGCAGACACACGTCTTGGGGCGAGGCGAGGGGGACGTCACGAAAGCTGATGGTTTGCTTGGGGTCGGTTAGGCCGCCCCTGATTGCAAACGTTCTATTTGTCGGCAACGCTGGCGGTCGCAAGCGCGTCTGCGAGCCGGCATGGGCGCTCCGTGCACGGGAACGCAAGGACGGATGGAAAAGAATGCGGCCGCGGAGGAGGAAGAGAGGGGAGAGGCCTCAGACGTAAGAGTGTCAACGCCATGGAGAATCGCTCAGGCAGCCTCAGGCAGCGTGCGGCGTGCTCACAATTTGTGCGGGTCAGTGCTTGCTGCCGAACGGGGGGCAGCGCCAGGAACCACCGAGAGGAGTCAGGAGTCATTGAAGAATTGATGAGCTCAACCATGCCCTGTTTTTTCCCGCGCGCCTGTCTTGGATCTCGTTCCCAGAGCACCGATCGCACAACAGATGCCCGTCATCGCTCTCGAAGGCCGGGACGACAACACAGACACTTGAGCGACGAAAAAGTCACGGGTCTTACGCAAGACGGCATAGCGACCTTACGCGGTGGCTTACGGCTCACGCGGGTCGCAAGCGCAGCACGCTGCGCTGGACACGACGGTGCTCACGCGCGAACTTGCGCGGGCAGCTTGCACGCCACTGTCGGCTCTTCCGTCGCTCACTTGGGCATCCGCTGGCGGCTTCTCTGGGGATGCGACAAACGTACCGATGCCGCTGCTCCCCAGACCTCGCCCGGGGTGCGTTCCGACCAAAATTCCGAGGCGAATCCAGCCGTGGCGACGAGGACCCCCCGGGACGCCCCAAAAAGGCGAAACGAGGGGAGAGTTGCGGTATGGCTGTTCTGGCGGCTTCTGACGGACCCCCTGCCATGACGAGCCCCTGGCGTGCGAAGCTCCGCGGCCTGACGGTCCCCCTGCCATGACGAGCTCCACTTCGTGACGAACCCCCGCTCACCGCCGAGACTCTTCTGTCCGGCTCCGCCTTCCCACGCCGTGGAGCTCCAGGCGAGGGGCTCGTCACGCAAAGGTGTCAGGGCACGTCGGATATCCAGGTCGACTTCCCTACATTGGGCTCTTCGCGGGACCCTCTTGTGGGCTTCTGGAGCTGTCTCGGGAGGCCTCTGGGACCGTCCTTTGCAACTTCTGGTTTGTCTTGGGGGCCTCTTGGGCCGTCTTGGGGACCTCTCAGAACGCTCATGGGCCGTGTTGGGCTGTCGGAAGCGCGAACAGGTGAGGACGCACATGCGAATAAAAGCCGAAGGCTGATGTGTGTGTTTGCTTAATCTGGAAGGCACCCTGTGGAGGCTCCTTGGAGCCCACATAGCCGCCAGACCGACGGGCAGGCCCACCAGACTGGCGGCGACGAGGCGGCGACGTGGCGGCGACAACGACCACATAGCCGCCACACCGACGGACAAGCACAATCTAGTAGGTAAAAAGTGCAAACGCTGCGAGGCACGTTGGAAAACTTATGTGTGTATATTTAAATAGGCATATGTATATATGTAGATCCGTATACATATATGTGTGTATATATATGCACACGTATAGAAGTGTTTGTGTGTATACTACACACATATATATACATATATATAAACATAAAGTATTTAATGTCTAACCGTCGCCGTACTGTTTAGTCCCACAGTTCGGTATATGATTGTGTTTTGACGGTGAAGGCGCGCGGTCGCTGGTGGGTTTCCAAGTCAGAGCTACTGGGACCTGCCAGGAGGCCCTCTTGGGGACCGTCTGGAAAGGTTTGGGACCTCTTTTTGGCCTTTCGGGCGCCTCATGGGGCCTCTTGGGAGCCTGCTGGTGGTCTCGGGGGCCCCTTTTGGGGCGGAGGGCTCGAAATCTCAATTCGAGTTCCCCCTCCTGGGCCCTCTCGGGGCCCTCTTAAGCCTTTTTGGGGCCCTCTTGGGTCGTCTCGGGGTCCTCTTGGCAGCCTCTTGGGCCGTCTTGGGGTGATCTGGGGGCCCCCTTGGGCAGCATTGGACGCTGTGGAAACCGAAAAATTGGAATTGCTAAAATTGCTTGTGTCCCAGAAAAAAATCGGGCGACATTTGACTCTTGAAGCTCTGTTGGGAGAACTCTTGGATGCCTCTTGGGCCGTCTGGAAGCCTGCTGGGCAGTCTGGAAGCCATCTAGAGCGTCTTTGACCGATCGCTTGGTGACTCGAGGCCCTCGTGAACCGTCTGAACGGCCTCTTGGAGCCTTCTTGACCCATCTTGGTGCCGTCTCGGGGCACGTTGGGGCCGACTGGGGCGCTCCAGAAACAGCCCCTCCCCACAAGGCCCCAACTCGTCCCGACTATGCTTCTGTTTGGGACACATGCTCCTTGAATTAAGAAGTATACAGATTGCATGGATGCATATATATATATATATATATATACATATCTGTTTATGAAAAATATATAGATCTAGGTGTACGTGTATGCCTATAACGATGAGATTACACATGCGTGTATCGCGTACGGGTGTGTATGCACATTTATACGTGATACACTATAACTCATCTACACATGTATATGTGCGCGGCTCATAACAGCATGCAGCGCGAAACCATCGCAGGGAATTTGCAAGAAAAGAAATACAACGTCGGACCCGAAGGCGAGGAGGAGGAAAAAGGACATGGATAAGCAGAGGAACGTGAAGACAGTGAGGACAATGATGATCATCGGACGGTGTACCAGTGGGATTGCAGTTGCACGCAGGTGAGATTACCATACCTTGCTATATGTGTGACGGCGGAGGGTGCTCCACACCTTGCGATTGCAAGCAGAAAGAAGCTCCGAAGCCAATGTTTGGAGGATGTACCGGGCGAGCCTGTCCTGTTGAATAATACGAAAAGAACGCTGAGTACGTCATGTTTAATATTTTGAATGTCTCACGCGGAACAGCTGAAATTCAAAACCAAATACAGCATGTTGTTGAGGGCTCCATGCTACAACAATTGGGGAGGTGTGCGTCTTGGGATCGCGAGGTGGCGATCTGCGTGAGGGGTGCGTCGGATTCCCAGAATGTTGAGACTGTCCCAGACGAAGCGGCGAACTGGATGTCCGAAGCGGACGGGCCAGCATGAACGAACTCGTCGCATCTAAACTCTACTCCCTCGGGGACATGAGTTTTAAACTATGTGCATGCATATCCTTACCGTCTTGCCCACCATATATATATATATATTTACATACATATATATATATATACATATATATATATATATATGTATACATATACCTACATACATAAAACGTTGGCTGTCACTTCCCTGGCCCGTCGGGAACCCTATGTGGGCACTCTGGCCGCCTAGGCCTCCAATGGCGCATGGCAGGTGTCGCGCCTACGTCCTGCACGGCGCGACGTTCCCAGACCTGCTTCCACAAACCCCAGGTTCACGATCCACGCAAGGCGCCCGGAAGCCCCACAGAAACACGCCGCGAGGCCAAAACGCCCCGAATTCACGATCCAGGTCAGGGGGCGTGCCGTCGCGGCGGCACGACGGCCCTGGCGGCAAGACCGCGACCCCCCTCGCGGTGATGTCCGCGCCCCCACTTCGTGGGGGCGCCTGCCGCTTCATCCCCCGAAACATATGATTTGTACTTGCCCCAGCCAGCTGTAGGCCAATCGGCGCCGCGAACGCCAAAGCCCTCTAAATCCCACTCCGACCTGAGACCCTCCCTCAAGAACGTCCACGTTGACGGCAGGTCTGCTGCTCACGCCACGGCAGACCGACCCCGCGAACCTCATGAAAGACAGCAATCGCAAAGCTGGCACCCAGCCGCTAGCCGAACGCCAAGCTTTTCAGAAGGCCTTCGATGCTGGGCGCCCTTGCCATCTGACGAACACGCATAACATTGCAGTAAACACGTGCCGACGGCGTGGCCGCTGGAAGGAATGATTCGTTGCGCGCCTGTTCGCGCTCCTGCCCCCCGCTGCCCCCCATGACGGTCGGTTGCGTCATCCTTTGTCCAGGCGATGACCTTCGCCCCTCCGGTGGCCACCAGCGTCGCACCCTCATAGCGACCGCCGCCCTTCCCCAGCGGCCGGCACCTCCAGCTTTGGGCATGGTCTTTCAGAACCGCGACCTTGACCCGCCCCGCGGTCATTGGACCATTCTCCTTGCTGCCAGCCCCCCCCCTTTGGTGGCGACCGCCACCCCAGAAGCAGCCCCTCGAGATTTTCGCTGTCCGAAGGCCACCCCCGGTCCCGGGGCGCCCTCGCAAAAAAAGTCTGGGTGGCAAGCCGATCCAGGGAGGTCAGGAACGGTATGAATATCCAATCTCTGGACGGACGTCGAAAATATGTGGACCAGCGACCCGACGCGCGCTGATCGTCGAGGGTGCTCACACCTCTCTCATGCGCGTAATCATCACGACATTTGCCTGGCCAACCGGTTTTTCGACCACCTGCGCGCGCCTACTCCGACGTTGCCTCGACCCCCTTCGCGGTCACAAGGCTCGCACTCCTATCGGCGTTTCCATGCCCCCCCCGGCTGTCCTTACCAGAACTACATCACGGCTACCACCCTCGCCCCGTCACGATCGTCTCCATGCCCAGCCCTCTGTTTTTCCGCGTCGCCGACAGCGTTTTCCCAGTGACGATGTCAGCCCCGAAGTGCGGCCACGCCCTGAACCTGCGTGAAAGTAATGACTGGAACCCCTCTCGCATCGTGACATGTCACTCCTCGTGGTCACCTTGGTGGTGCGTTCCCACTCATCGGCTTCGCGGCCACTGCCCAAGCTCCGCTGCCACGACCTGCGCCCAGCGGCCACGATGTCCGCGTCGTCGGCGTCGTAGCCGTCGCACCAGGTGGGGTATTTGATTACCCTGGAATCGACGGCCACACCTTCGTCTCGGGTCGGGCGAAAGGGGGGATAGCAAAGGGGGGGGTTCAGAATCAGCTCACGTAGCTGATTTGGGCGGCTATGTATCGAGGAATGGGCCCCTCGGTCGGGCCGTAACCAGCTGCATGGAGCAGATTTCGTAACCCCCCCTTTCCCAATCCCCCCCTTTCGTCCGGCCCGATCGTCCCCGTGGCAACCAAACCCTTCCCCCATAGCATGAATTTTCCTGCGGGCCCCATCCAGCCGGGGGCCCGCCACCCCCCCTCCTGGTCATGAACTTTCCCGCGCGAAATGCTTATGGCGTTACTTCTTCTTCGATATTGGTCCTCTGCGCGGCACGGGCAAAGATAGCTCCACGCTGTTTGGCAAAGCCGGCTCTGGGCAGGCTGTGCCGCCCGGAGAGGGAGGGAGGGAGGGGGGAGAAGGAGAAGGAAGGCGAGAAGGAGGAAAAACGCGACGAGCACACACAACCAAGCAGGAGGAGAGGGGAAGCGGCAACAGCAACGGCAGGTCAGCGCGCACGTCGGGGGCGGGCGGGGGGCGGAAGGAGCGGGGGCCGTCGGCGGCGAACGGGGGTTCGTCGTGTGTCCTCTGCGCGGCACGAGGATCCCAGCCCGTCCTCCCCGCCCCGGAGTGGCTGACTCCCGCTCGGCCAGCTGCCGCAAGGGCACCGGGACGGCCGCCGGGCGAGCCCGGAGGGCTAGCCCTCCGGGCTCGCCCGGCGGGCTAGCCCTCCGGGCTAGCCCGCCAGGCGAGCCCAGAGGCCCCCCGCAGCTGCGGGGGGCCTCTGCCGGCATCGTTTAGAACCTTGATGCCTCTCGGACCTCTCTTCGGCAGGCCACTGTCGGGCCGGGCGAAAGGGGGGGATAGCAAAGCGGGGGGGTCAGAATCAGCTCACGTAGCTGAACGTCGCTGATTTTCCCGGCGCCGGGAGGCGCCCCTGTATCGAGCAATGGGCCCGGCGGCGGGGCCGAAACCAGTTGCATGCAGCAGATTTCGTAACCCCCCCTTTCCCTATCCCCCCCTTTCGTGCGGCCCGACACTGGGCGCGCGCACCCGAAGCGCAAGCTGGGCCCGCAGCTGCAGGCAGGCAAGACAGCGCCTCCCCGTCGGAGAGGCTGCAGCACAGGCGGCTCGGACCCCTCTCCGGGGTCCTCCGTCGCGGCCGCCCGCCGGCCGCCGGCCGCGGAGGGGCGCGGCCTGCGCGCCGACGGCGCCGCTCAGCGCGGCCGGGCGGCTCGGGGGCGGCAGGCTGTCCAGGTCCAGCGGCGACCTCGGCGCGAGCGCGGCCCCGCGAGGGGGAGGGGGGGGGGAGGGGGGCGAGGAGGAGTACGAGGCCGGGGGGCGAGGAGGGGAGGGGGAGAGGGGGGGCGGGGAGGGAAGGAGGGCGAGGAGGAGGGGGGGAGGGGGAGAGTGCGGAGGGCGCAGACGAGGGCTTCGACCGTTTCCGCGACATCGTCCGCAACTTCGGGCGTCGAAGGGCGGGGGGAGGAGAGAGGGGGGGAAGGAGGATGCATGGGTCGGCGGGTGGAGGAGGGAGAGCGATGGAGAGCTGGGGAGAGGGAGGGGGAGGAGGAGGAGAGGGAGGAGGAGAGGGAGGAGGAGGAGTACGAAGACAGGGGAGGATGAGGACGACGAGGGGGATTGCTTTTTGACAGCCCCTGGGCCCACGGGCCACCTCACAGGCACAAGAGGAGGGGACGAGGAGGAAGAGGGGGTACGAGGAGGGGACGAAGAGGAAGGGGGGACGAGGAGGAAGAGGGGAGAGGGCAAGAGGAAAATGGGAGGTGGAGGAGGGAGGCCGAGGAGGGTGGAGGGAGACGACGGCGAGGGGTCGAGGAGGCCCAGCGTGGCCACGGGCGAGGCTATCTGGCGGCGAGCACGGGCGTCCAGGAAGGCAGGGGGCCGTACTGGTACTTTGGGCACGCAGGCTTCCGAGAGGGCCTCCTGGAGGCAGGGAGGGCTCTTCCCAGGAAGGCTCCCCCGCCTTCTCTAAGCAACCTCGACCTTACCCATATCCTTAGGATTGACGAGCCCAAGTGCGATGACAATCTTGGAGTTGCGGCCTCAATGACAGAGGGAACCCTCAGGATCGGCATCGAGATCAGGTGATGCGAATCACATAGATAGGGATCTGTTCCAGGCTAGTAACTCTCAGAATCACCCCGCAGCCTCCTGAGACGCCCAATCCCCTTCGCGCCGACCCTTGCCCAGAACTTCGACGCATTGATTTGTTCAAACCGGGGTCTCCAGAAATCTCGGCCCATTCCAGGGGACTGGCTGCTCGCCCCGAGAGATTTCTGTTGACGGTGCCGGGGTCCGGCGAGGGCCCCCAGGCATAACAAAAAACTGTACAAGAATAAACGTTCGACGCTCTGAGCGGATTTCTTGGATCGGCGCTGGACCCCTGGAGCGCGCCAGGGGGGGAGCGCCGGAGGCGCCGCCAGAGGGGCCCAGCGCAGATTCACAAATCCGCGTGGCACTCCGATATGTTGAAGTATAGCTGAGGCGACAGCGCTGCCCGCGCGTGCCTACGGAAGCTGATGCACTCGATTCGCAAAGAGAGGAGGAGGACTTGTCCCTTGGGGGTCCCTGAGGCGGAACAGATCAGCAACGTCTCAAACCATTCATGCTGCTGCGTCGGCCTCCGCGTGCCCTGAGGTAGAGGAGGACGAAGCAGCGGAAGGACGGCCAGCTCGTTTGGTCATGTAGTTGTTTGCCCGATTCTTGTGCGATTCGAGCGCACGTTTTCGGTCAACGTGTTTGTCCTTCGATTATGGAGGCGGCTGTTGGGCCTGAACTTGCTGAACCCCACAGAATGGTCAGTAGGGACAATGAAGCCAACTCCGCTCACAATGGGTCCCTGGACCCCTCCCGGGGTCCGTCTGGCAAATTTCCCCCCGCATCGGCTCTGACGCTCCCGGGGCCCGAGAACGGCCCCCATGCACGAAGGCCGAAAAACGCTCCCCCCCCCTCCCCAAAAAAGCGAGCCCAAATAGGGGGCTTCATGCGAACACTACCCCTACCCCACACGATTTCCGAAGGGGAGGGTGGGGTTCACTTCGCTCGGGAGCTCCCGAACGAAGTGGGCCCCACCCTCCCCCTGGGAAATCGTGGGGGGTAGGGGGTAGGGCTCGCTAGTGGCCCCCTACCAAAACCTCGGACCTGTCCCTCCTTCCTGCCTCCCTGCTGGCCGGGGCCTCTGCTAGGCCACCTCTGGCCCCCAGACGAAGGCGACGACGACGACGAGGGGGAGGAGGAGAGCGAGGAGGGCGAGGAGGAGGGAGAGCGAGAAGGAGGGAGACACGAGGAGGCGCGGAGGAGGAGGAGGAGGAGGAGAAGGAGGAGGAGGAGGAGGGAGGCGAGGAAGGGCGACGAGGAGGGAGGCGAGGAGGGAGGACGAGGGCGACGAGGAGGAGAGCGAGGAGCGACGGCGACGGCGACGGCGACGGCGACGACGAGGTCGGTTCCAACTCCGCCCGCCCCTCGAAGCAAGCACCTGGCCCGTCGAGCGGCGCGGCCCGAAGAACCTGGGCCGCACCCCTCCCGAGGCTCAGGTCGGGAGTGTCCTCTTGCAGGCGGATTTTGGAAGAAGAACGAGACATGCTCAGGAAGAATCCAAAATAGTCAAACATCATCAGAACATCGTCCCCAGAGAACTTCTTGAATATTCCTCCTGTACAGGGGACGTGCCCGACTTAACAGGGGGCGCCGGCCACCTCGGAGCTCCCGCGTCGCGTGCTGCGCGCGTGCCACGGGCTCGGCTCGCACCTTTTCGGACCAGTCCCGACGATACGGGCGGCCCGTATCGCAAGGACGCACGATCAGGATGCAAGGGCCTCGGAAGGCCGTCTCGGAGCTTTTCAAGCGGGGCGCGGCCAGCGAGCGGGCCTCCCAAGAGGCTGACAGGGCACAAGAAAGCGGCGCAGGGCAGGCAAAGACCGAAGGAGAACGCCAGGGTCAATCTAGGCATATTCGATGGGGTTGGAGTGCGCCGCATCACCGATGCATCGCCGATGCGGTTCGGTGTGGCGCCCGATTTGCTTCACGTCGGCGTCGCCGATGCATCGCCCACGTCAACGATGCATTGCTGGTTCATCGCCGATGCGGCGCGATCCTCCGACCCCATCTACTCCGACCCCAACCAGGAGCCTGACAAGATACAACAGTCGGCGCAAGGCAGGCCGGGACCGAAAGAGAACGCCAAGGTCGAACACATATCGTATCTTCAACCCGCATGTGATCGTTCTTTTGTTGTTTTGCTGATCGGCGCGGGCTCTTAACATTCCCCCTATGGAATACATCTTGGCTGTTTTGTTGTATTTGTTTCGAGCAGATGGGGCCTCCACCACCGGACGCACTGCTGCAAACCGCCGCACTAAGCAGAGGTCTGGAGCCAGACCCCCCTTCCGCCATCACCCCCCTCCGCCCAGTGTCGAATCGCCGAAAAAGAGAAACGTTGACCATAGGAATGATGGGCCACCTTCGCAAGGGTACCCTTGTCGGTCCATCCTTCGCCGCGCCCCAAGGAGAGGTCTGTGAGGTGTTGGCATCGGTAACCGCATGCCCCTTCTATGAAACCCCTGGGGGTAATAAATGTCGGGGTCCAAGAAAATGCTAACAACGCTGCCCCGGCAAATCGGAGGAGGAAGAGGATGATGAGGATAATGAAGATGATGATTATGACGGTGAGCAGGATGATGGTGAGGATGATGATGATGATGATGATGATGATGAGGATGAGGATGATGAGGATGATGATGAGGATGATGATGATGAGGATGATGATGATGATGATGATGTTGATGATCGCTCTCGTGCGCTTCGGCACACAAAGGCAGATTCACTCGAGTGCCAGGAGCAGTCTTCCACCTGGGAATAAGCAAGCGCGAATAGTATCCGAGCAGCCGAAGCGACTCAGCACGCTCGGCAACACGCACAGGCCCGAGCTGCACGATTTAGCGGGCTGGTACGCAACTTGGCTGCACATGCACACCGCAGTGGAGAGGCAACCTGTCCACGGCCCAAAGTCGCGAGCCACAGTTGCCCCTCGGGCCAGCGGAGACAGATCCACAGCGTGGGAAGAACTACGCTCACGGTTCGCCCTCCGCATCGCCTCAGACGGGCTGGCTGAGTCGCCGCCGATAGCGACAGCAGCTGCATTGAAGCGGAAAGGCGTGCAAAATGCGCAGTGGGCGGGCGAGAGACTGAACCTCTCCCTCAGCAGCGCAGCTCGTCCCTTGGCTCCTGGCCGAATGGACTGGTTGCATTGCCGATGGCATCGGGGCCCGATCCCGTGAATCGGCGGACCCCCGCGCGTAGTTCGGCTCCCGCACAAGCACGGCGGCGGGCCAAAGCAACGCGCACCGACGCGCCACACGGCGGAGTGAGGGCGAGCCTTCGCCCCTGGTTCCTCCATTCAAGGAACGGAGATGTGAAGCGGCGCGTCGCGCCAGGAAGATTGGCGCTCGCCTCAGAGACGAGGGCAGCAGCGTGCACCGAGCGAGGCCATGCACACTGTAGCTGGTCGGCACCTCACCACCAGCAGCGCAAATCATCCACTAAAGCACCTGGCCAACACCGAGACTGGTTGCTTCGCCACTTGTCTCGGAGCCCGGTCCCGCGTGTGAGCGAAGCTACACAACTGCTTCGATATCCACATAGAGCGCCGCGCGGAAAACGCGGGCCGATCGAGGCCCAGCCACTGGGCAGGAAGATGAACCGACAGCCTCGCAACACGAGCCGTAGGCCCAAAGACCCGATGGACTGCTGCCCAGCCGTAGGCATCGGAGCCCGATCCGCAGCGTCGGCGAACCTGCACCCCTGGTTCAGATACCGCTCGAAGCGAACTGCGCGGAGGCTCGTAGCGCGCAGCGAGCAAGAGCCTAGCGCGCTGCGTTCGACTAGAAGTGCGTGGGAGCGGCCTAGCCGCCCACGCGTCTGCGCAGGCGCCGAAGCGGTTCAGGGTCGCCAGTGCTGCACCTCCCGCTGGCTGAAGTCTCCGCTCCAGCCTCCACGGCTCCGTCTCCAGCCCGTCGCTTCTCGGGGCACGCAGGCGCGGCTTCGCGAGCCCCGTCATCCTGGCACTCTGCGTCCAGTAGCCGCATTTGATGCAGAAGAAGTGGCGCCCCGCCTTCCACGGCTCGTGAGAGTCGCGGGCGTCGATCCCCCGTCACGGAGGCAGCTCTGGGCTCTGGGGCCGAGACTTCCCCAGCAATGCAGGGCAATGGCGAACAGAAAACATTTCGATATAGGTTTTAGATAGGTTCAAAA